CATTCATATATAAGGTCCCTCAGTATTATCAGCAGTTTTCGCATTGCTCAATAGCTAATTACCCTCCTCCATCCCCAGCTCCTCCTCTGTCAGTCAGGATTCAGCCTTCTGATTCTCCTTGAATCAGACTAATTCTAAAATGTGTACATAACATTATTGAACTTTAACGATATCTGTAATACATTTATGCTGGTTCCGTTCTGTTTACCCTGGGGGGGGGGGTTATCGCTGCTCTCCCTGCTCTCATCCATGCTAGGCTGCATGGATGCGCAGGGAGTTCTTGCCCAGAACAGAACCATACCGCCAATCCAAACTGTATTCTAATTGTCAATCATCTTTGATGACAGTGGTCCTGACAGAATTAGTACTTTATAAACAATAAAGTGATATTAAAGTGTACTATACAGTGTTATTTGAAAATCATTCATATATTTTAGTTTTTATAAATATTTTGAATTATTTTTTTTTCCCCCATTCATTTAAAGTTTTGTTCATTTTGTTGTTTTTGTCATTTTTTATTAGTTTTTGTTTTTAAAAAATGTTTTGTTTCATTTTTATTTAAGTTTTTTTATTCATTATTTATTCAATTATTTTAGTTCTTCAAGTTAAACTAAATAAAAAATTAGAAATGTTGCCTTGGCAACTAACTGAAATAAAATAAGTCTATTTTATTTTGTTATTTTGTTAATATTTGCTATATTTCAAGTGATTTTAGTTTTAGTTAACTATAATAACCCTGGTACTATATTCATTTAAAGTGTCAGTAATAATGTATTTGAGAACTGTCACTAATGCGTCATAATCGTCATATGATGCGATTTAAATTTTTCCTTTCTCTTTGGAGTGTTACAAGCTCTTGGTGCATAAAGAAGATCTGTAAAGTTGCAAAGACTAAAGTCTCAAATCCAAAGAGATATTCTTTATAAAAGTTAAGAGTCAGCCACGCCTACCTAAAACGGCTCGTTCTAACACGCCCCCACATACCTACCTCACGATGTGGAAAGATTTGCATAACGCCGCCCAAATGTTCACGCAAAGAAAGAAGGCATAACTTGTATTCTCACTGTAGTATTGTTGCTGCCGCCATGTCGTGAAGATGCTGTGTGTTTCGAAACTACTTTGTTTGGCCTTCCAAAAGAGGACGATAATCCGCCGGCCTCCACTCACTCTAGCCGCCGTGTGTGACGCTGTGTTTTGTTGTGACAGCGAAACTATTTTGTTTGGTCTTCCAAAAGAGGACACAACTAGACATCAGTGGTTAAGTTGTATTTACAACACTGTTCCAGAACAGTAATTCAAATATTCAGATGTGTGCAGCACATTTTATGAAGGACAGTTTCCTGATCCTGGGAGAGTAGACTACAATGCCGGCTGTTCTGACTCATAGATTGTAAGTTTTTATATATATATAAAGAATTTGCCACTGACGATTCAAATGCGAGTTTTGAGCAGTGTAGTAGCACTTGTTGTTTGTCATTTCTCCGATCACAAATGCAGACATGGTTTTATGTTTACGCGGCACGATGCAATGCGTAAAAAGATAGTATAAGTCATTATAATCCGTAATCATGTCTCCACTGGATGCAACAAATGTCTCGTTTATAATGGGTTTTATTGGTTTTATTGAGCATAGAGGAGCAACAATATGGAAAATCATGTGTTTTTTTAACCTTAAACCACAAAAACACATTTCATTACACCAAATACACAAAATAATGTTCTTTTTAGCAACATCATATGACCCCTTTAAGGCAAGACACTACAGGCAAAACCATTGTTTTTTTTATGATTTTGGGGTATTTTGCTTCCCTAACTTGTCTTCTTTAGGACTAGTGAAAAGAAAACATCTAAAATATACTTTAAAGTGTTTATCTGCTTTGTAGATTTCAATTATAATACATGTTTTTTAACTGTCACAGAATGGAACGCACAGGATTGTGGGATATCAAAAGGCAGCGAAGGATACATCTATGGTGCTTTCAAAAATCGGCCAGATGAAGGCATCTCAGGAGACAGGAACTGAAGCTAACATTGAATTTGGACGTGCCTTGATGCCTTCGAATGCCTCCTCCAAAGGCAGCATTTTTCAGTTTACGGATGCAACCCTAGGTAAGTAAGCCTATTCTGACGCAACTTAAGTAAACGTATATCCGAATCTCACGAGAATTTGTGCACCACACAGGTAATTCTTGCCTACACTTTTATGAATACTAAGGATTCGAACATACTCATTCTTCGCCTGCTGCTTTTTGCCTACTAAATAGTAGGGAAGTATGCGGTTTTGGACACAGCCACTGTTTCGTGAAGCTTTGAGAACCCTTTGCGAATCATTTGTTTCGCCTGTCAAACTTCCAAAATCATGTAATTTCAGTAATCAAGGCTTCATTACGTCATAACTGTTTCGAAACGTTTTGAAATTTCAATGGTTTCGAATCGAACCACTGAGTCAGCGGCTATGGTTTTTATACGATCTCCGATCCATTTGATCAATTTCTAGAAATTTTTTATGAGACACTTGTGTAATTTAAAGGATGAGTAGTAGTCATCTTATTGCCCTGTTTAGACATAAAACTAACAAACAAGCCCTGCAAATTAATAATAATTATTTTAAAAACAGATACAGACAATTCACATTTAATGGTATTTTTTTATTTAATGAATTATACTTTCAATAATACATTTGCAATGGGTTTGTAAAATGTTTTATGCATGTTTTGGCCTGAGTTTTTGTTGCATTTACACAGTTTTGACCAGCAGTGGTCACCAGTGTGTGGTGTACGCTTCTAAACAGTGAATAATTTGAGATGTAATTGATTCAAAACTTCGGAAAGGTTCAGTTCTCCCATCACTATCGCGAAAGCGGAACGCGCACGAACACAAGAGGTGGGATTTATTGCATGAACTAATCACATAACCATTCAATCCATTCATATCGCGATGGAGGCATTGCCTCCTCTCACGTGACTTTTCCCCATTCATTCTCAATTACCCCCCACCAAACTCACCGCACGTTTTAGGGGGTCTGTTAAAACTCAATGGGCTCAGGGGAGGCGAGAGAGGCGTGAACTCCAGCTGTTATTTTACCAGTACCATTCCGACAGCAAGAACTATCCTGAACTAAATGAAGATAAAAGTCTTGGCGTATGATGTGTTTATTGAACCAATCAGATAAGAGTAAATGGAGAGTCAGCAAGAGCCTCATTTGATTGGCTACAAGGTGGTGGAAACACGATTTACACCTTTACAAATCCTCTCTCGTGCATGCAAATTTAATTTACGCTTACAGTCTTATGTACACTTCCACAGATATTACCCTGCGCATGCAAATTTTTTTACGTCATTTTACCTTCATAATCGCTTCATCTGGAAAGCATCTGCTGTGGGGGAACATCTGGGAAACATCTGATTGGTATTAAAATACTGAAAACGTTTGGATTTTTTAAATGTATTTATCATGCCTTCTTTTGCTAATTTTCAAATTCCTTTATATATTTTATTGTTTTCCCTTTGAGACCCAGAAAGATTTCACTTTGAAACATATGCAGTCTGTGCAGTTTCTAACAAGCTGCAATTGAGTAAACTGTGATAACTTGATATTTGACAGTACTGTCATCATAAAAGAAACTAACCAAACTAAATAAATACTCAAAAAGTTCCCTACACTGTTACACAGGGATAAATTAGAAACGGTTTCATATTCATGATTATGGGCGGAGCTACAGTAAGATGTTGAGTGAAAGACTGCAGTGAAAGTGAAACTTAAAAGCTTCATCAAACAACAATTCTATTCAGAAACTATCAAATTAATGATCAGATCTGTTATTCACTCACAGGTAAGTGATGGAAATGTAAAGAGCTCATTCAGTAGTTTAATAGCATGTAGCAGTATCAGAATATTAGTAAGAAAATGTCATTTATTTGGTTGTAAATCAAATTCTGATGTGTGCTGTCATTTTACAGACGATAGAAACAGGATGTACTCAAACTTCCGGCAGAATGAACAAAGTCAAGTGAAAACCATAACTCGGTTAAACAAAAATGAAACCTGGTGTTTACATGCATGTTTATTTCGTACGTTATATGTTTGAAATATTCCCTGATAGCAGACGTATATCACAAAGATGTCTATTTGATGTCTGCATTTACATCTGCAAGACGTATTTTTTAGATCTGAAATACGTCTATAGGACATTTCCTATTAGATGTCAAATAGACATTTAGAAAATCGTTTTAAGATGTTTATGATTTAGAGTGTATGTAAAACTGACATCTTAAAGACTATCATATGTTTGTACACAACAGATGAGGCGTGAACTCCAGCTGTTATTTTACCAGTACCATTCCGACAGCAAGAACTATCCTGAACTAAATGAAGATAAAAGTCTTGGCGTATGATGTGTTTATTGAACCAATCAGATAAGAGTAAATGGAGAGTCAGCAAGAGCCTCATTTGATTGGCTACAAGGTGGTGGAAACACGATTTACACCTTTACAAATCCTCTCTCGTGCATGCAAATTTAATTTACGCTTACAGTCTTATGTACACTTCCACAGATATTACCCTGCGCATGCAAATTTTTTTACGTCATTTTACCTTCATAATCGCTTCATCTGGAAAGCATCTGCTGTGGGGGAACATCTGGGAAACATCTGATTGGTATTAAAATACTGAAAACGTTTGGATTTTTTAAATGTATTTATCATGCCTTCTTTTGCTAATTTTCAAATTCCTTTATATATTTTATTGTTTTCCCTTTGAGACCCAGAAAGATTTCACTTTGAAACATATGCAGTCTGTGCAGTTTCTAACAAGCTGCAATTGAGTAAACTGTGATAACTTGATATTTGACAGTACTGTCATCATAAAAGAAACTAACCAAACTAAATAAATACTCAAAAAGTTCCCTACACTGTTACACAGGGATAAATTAGAAACGGTTTCATATTCATGATTATGGGCGGAGCTACAGTAAGATGTTGAGTGAAAGACTGCAGTGAAAGTGAAACTTAAAAGCTTCATCAAACAACAATTCTATTCAGAAACTATCAAATTAATGATCAGATCTGTTATTCACTCACAGGTAAGTGATGGAAATGTAAAGAGCTCATTCAGTAGTTTAATAGCATGTAGCAGTATCAGAATATTAGTAAGAAAATGTCATTTATTTGGTTGTAAATCAAATTCTGATGTGTGCTGTCATTTTACAGACGATAGAAACAGGATGTACTCAAACTTCCGGCAGAATGAACAAAGTCAAGTGAAAACCATAACTCGGTTAAACAAAAATGAAACCTGGTGTTTACATGCATGTTTATTTCGTACGTTATATGTTTGAAATATTCCCTGATAGCAGACGTATATCACAAAGATGTCTATTTGATGTCTGCATTTACATCTGCAAGACGTATTTTTTAGATCTGAAATACGTCTATAGGACATTTCCTATTAGATGTCAAATAGACATTTAGAAAATCGTTTTAAGATGTTTATGATTTAGAGTGTATGTAAAACTGACATCTTAAAGACTATCATATGTTTGTACACAACAGATGCTTTCCAGATGAAGCGATCTTTAACAGACATCTTGCAGATGCATGTGTGCTATCTGGGTTACACTTCCGTCCTTTTCTGTGTTGTCTTTCATTTATAAAAATGCCTTTCCGTGCCATAATTAAATATTGTTGTAAAACTTCATTTGTTTAGTTTTTTTAATTTAGTTCCTTCTTCTACCACCCAATAATATGCACTGCAGTGCCACAGAGCCATCAGAAGCACCAGACCAGCAGTTTTAGACCGGAAGTTGGGGGCGGAGCTTATAGGCTCAGTGAAGTTTACATTCGTGAACTCTGTCCTAACTTCCAGTCAGAAACTGCTGTCACATATTACTCTATGGCTGCTTTGCCGATGAAATAAACAGTGGTTCATAATTTACGTTGTTTATTTATTATTACGTCTTTATAAAAGATTTTAGTTAGAATCATTTTTAAAAAGCAACATCCATACACAAAATAAATGACTCAATCACATCAAAATTAGTATCAAAACTACACACAGCTGGAATTTTAGAGAGGAAAATTTAAAAGAGAAAAAAAGAAGAATTAAGGAGAATAAATAAATTATGAATTACTGCCATAGTGTGAATAATATGTAATCCATTAAAAAGTAACTGTAATCTAATTATGAGCATTTTAAAAAGATGCTGCAGAGCGTGACGTCATATTACAATCACTGCAGCTTCCAAAGAAATTTCACATGCTCAAAGTCTAGTGTGACCGCGGCTTTACCCTGAAAACTGTCAGAAGATGGAAAGTTAAATTCATTGATAATTGTGTCTGAGTTTCTCTGTCTGTAGAATCAGCTGCTTCAGACACAGACAGACGTGCAGCAGATGATCCAGAACAGAATGAAGAAGATTGAAGAGATCCAGCACTCAGTAGAGCTGAGAAAAGTGAGTGGGGGAAAAAAAATATAAAAAATGAATAATGTTATAAATCATAATATTTCAGTCTGCTTAATAAAGGAGCTCAATTAAATGGATTAAAAAATGACACGTTTTAAGTGACATGAGGACAGTACATGAGAGAATTTTCCTTTTTGAGTTAACTATCACTTTAAGTAAATATGTAACAATATAACAGATTGTCACAGTTATGAACTTTTTATTGTGTTTCTCTCTGTTCCTGTTCTCCTGCCCTGTTTCGTTCTGTTAGTTTCTTATTAGTCCTGGTTTGTTTCTATGTTTATATGATTTGCAGCTGTCTATCATTCATTTTTTTCATTACGTATACTCCCTGTTCTGTTCAGTGTTTGCCGGTTATTGTTTATGTTCACGTGTTTGTGCTACGTTGGTTTCGGTGATCTCCTGTGTTCCTTGTGGATTTATTATTAAAGGACTGTTGTGGATTATTCTTCATCTTTGTGCGCTTATTATAGAGCACCAAGCATGACACAGATTGATTGTCATATAGAATATTTAGTTAATTGATCTCATTGATCAGAGGAACACAGAGGAAGAGAAATCGGCCAGTGTTGAGCTCTTCACTGATCTGATCCGCTCCATTGAGAGATGTCAGTCTGAGCTGCTGAAGATGATGGAGGAACAGCAGAAAGCAGCAGAGAAACAGGCTGAAGATCTCATTAAAGAGCTGCAGCAGGAAATCACTGATCTGAAGAGGAGAAACACTGAGCTGGAGCAGCTCTCACACACTGACGATCATCTGCACCTCCTGCAGGTCTGTCAACAT